CAGGAAATTTGGCCCAAAGGCTCTGAACTGCCAAGCATTGCTGACTAGCCCATGGATTGCTGTAAAATGTCATTTGTGCTGCTCCTAGTCACAAGAAAAAATTTGCAAAGCTAGGTGGGTCCAAATGTCACTGCTGAAGGTCTGCTGCTTGATTTCAAGGCAGTAAAGAATGTTTTGAACTAAAACATGAAAAGACACATAGTGTGCAACACTGGAAAAGATAATTACTTGATGGAGACAGTAGACAAGGTTGCCTTTTTTGGGGGCAGGAGTAATTACTACATTCTGTGGGACACACTGTGCAAAAGGTCTACCCAGCATTCTCAGAGGTTATTTTTGAACCTGTATCATAATAATATTCAAAAGGTGTTATTCCTTTTCCCCATTTGTAAAATACCTTGTGATGCCGCCTTCTGTTCTGCTCTTAAGTTGAAGAATGTGTCTCATTGCACTTTCCATGAAAGCTCCAGAACACATTTCTGCAAGCACATTGGAATAGAAAAGGAATAGTGCCTCTGGTCCACCACAACCGCTGGGCAACATTTTACAAGGAATTTATCTCCTGGACCAGAAGAAGCTGTGAGAATTCCCCAAAGAGATCTCAAACCTTCATTATTGATTTGGTAGCAATGAAAATCCCCAAGGTCTCAGTTCACCCCCTATAAAAAAATAGCACCAGTCCTGCCTGCGCCTCACTATTCATTGTCAGAACAATATCTACTTTAATTAAACCTGTTAAAGTAGAATATGGTGCCCTTTGGGACATAGATTTAGCATGAGACTGTTTATCAAGTGTAGATAATACTAATTGTTCCCATGGAGATTTATCTGCTATGCTAGTTACAGTATTAGGCTCTGGCCTCAGCATCCCATGTGCCTGAATTAGAGGAGAGAGGTGAACCTTGTTTATAAAAATACAAAGTCCCGCAGGTTAAGGATTTCTTTCAAGTGGCACAGTCAATGACCTGGAGCTGACCCTCTTAGCTCCTGGCCTTGACTCATGTGTGTCTGCAAGTCTGGGAATATTAATAGAAAGAAGACACTATTAGAGAAATATCCTTCTAACACTCTCGTTTGCATGACTGCTCTTCAGTTAGCAAGTACTAATGCCATCTGCTCCTGTGTCATCTGAGGGTTAACCACCAGCAGGGGCAGACCCTGAGTCACCCTCTGTGTAAGCAATGGCAGCTACCAGGCTGAGAAAAGGCATCAGCATTATGCCCTCGGCTCCTGGCTACCTCCAACCACTCCACCATCCTTATGTGGTAGTATTGCTCCAAAGGTCACACTGTCCCTTTCTAGCACTGCGCTGTCAGAGAGACAGGTGGGCTTTGCGCCACAGGAATAAGCCCAGACGAAGCAGACTGGTTCTTCAGCAGAGTGCAAAGTAACAGGGATCTGTGACGTTCCTTGCGGCCAGATACCTGAACACTGATCCTAATGCACTCTACCTCTGGGAAAGCTTTGAATACCACAAGGTCTTCACAGAAGCCTTGTCTGCTTCAGCTAAACTCCGCATGTTAACAAGTGTCTGCTATTGATCATGGTAATTCAGCTTGAGGATTTAAACAAGGAGAGTTAGTAACAAGGAAGCGGAGGTGCTCACGCACTTTGATGTGGATGCAGTTCAAGACCTTCCCCTCACTCCCCTGGCCATGGATCCCCTGCAGCTCATGCGGGCCTTGCATGTTCTCTGTAGGCACAGCACAGCAGGGCACGCATGCAAGAAGGAAGGGAAGTCACGCTTCTTTCAGCCCTGGCCACCTCTGCAGAGGCAGCAGATAGTTGCTGAGACTGCGTGGAAGATTATCCTTGGCTATGTGACATGCTGGTCTTGTTTCTTAAGGGAGAGAAGCCGCACTGATATCTGCAGAAATTTCCACCACACTCTAGTCTTACCCACATCAGTGATCCGCACTGGGGGACACACAGAGCAGGAAGGCACTGGGATACCAGTGCTGTCTGCAGCCTGGTGGATGACACTACATCCAGAACTGTGCTGGAGAAAAGAGAGCAGCAGTCATTCCTGCAGAATCCCTCTGCACTGACACATCTTGTGCTGCTCACACCTGTAGCACCTTCTGGAACAGTGATGATGCTTCTCTCCTTCACTCCCTGGGATTATGCATCTGCCCTGATGCTCTGAAGTAACTCCTAAAGGCAATCTGGATGTTTGAGATAGGACGTGTTGCAGAAAGAGTCATTCTTCATTTGATTCACTGGCTGGTTTTCAGACCACTTTGTCCAGACCACTTTGTCCTGGTGATCTCTTCCCATTAAGTCACATTTGGAACTATTCATGCTTCAACTCCAAGTCAGGCATCAGGACAAGCTTGTGCAACTACTGTCATGGAGCTGCAATGGCCAACCTGACTGGTAGGGCCCAGCCAAGTGAGATCAGGTAACAAGATACTTGAGAAAGCTGACAGAGCAGTGAAGCACTGATTGGGACTGCGTGAATTATAACCCCTGAGACACCCCCATTCTCAGACTGCCTCTGCCCAGTGCATGCCTTCACTGCTTGGCGTTTCCTGTTGGTGTGCTTCAGCCAACATTTTGCTCTCCTGTTTCATTACCGTGAGACAAGTTCTTACTGGCTATTCCACAACTGATCAAAACAGAAAAAAAATCAACAGAACTACAACACCTTCTGGCCTAAGAAGAGTAAGAGGAGGGAAAGCAAGCAGCAGTGTGCTCCACTGTGTGCCATGGTTCATGTGCAGGTGCTCAAAAGTAAGAGCACCTAACTAACCTGGGCTCGGAGATCTGAGCTCCACAAGACCTCAGGCCAGTGAGCAACAAGACCCTGCTCTGCTGGTCTCTTGTCTGATGGCCTGAAAACATCATGTGGCAGGTCAAGGTGCTGCTTTTCGCTGTCCTGCTCACTGCCACAGGCAGAGCTCCCTGTCCTCTGCATCCCGCCCTTACCTTAAAAGGCACTGCAGATTTATAGGAGTCAGGCACTTCCCAGCTCAGCAACACAGACGTTTTCATGACGGCATTAACACGGAAGTTCTTAGCAAACACTGAAATGAAAAACAAGATATTTGAGCACTGTAAGGCCAAGTCAGGAGGGAGCCAGGCGGCAGCTTGGCTCCAAGTCTCTCTTTGTCTAACTCAGCAGCAGAGGTCAAAGAGTTCAGTAACAGCAGAGAAGTGAGAGATGAGGAGAAAAGAGCAGCAGCCTTTTACCAATTCTCCAGTCTCCAGTGGAGTTTTGCTTTTTTTTACTATACTTTCCAGCATCACAGAAAGGAAGCTGTAGGCTGAACCACAGCCTTCCTCTCTCCCCCCTCCACTCACACTCTCTTGGCCCTTTGCCATGATCAAACAACAGTGGTCCTCAGGTACTGGATCAGCAGATGATCCTACCCAGCCACCTGCTCCAGTTCAAGTAAGAGCCATTCACGTACAAATAAAACAGCAAGTGTGCCTGTGGAGTGACAAAGGCAATGAAGCTACCACCAATGCTCCCTTCCCACAAATAGCAACTTTAAGGAAACCTTTGTTGAGCCTCCCCTCACCAAACTAATTTTAGACTAGGGAGTCACACAGTACCTGATCTCATCAGTCAGAGCGAAGGGAAGTGTAGCCTCAATAACTGAAGCAAAGGTCCCTGTCCTGGAGGCTGAGCTTGCTGTTAGGGCTTGTTAGAGGGGCACTTACCTTGCTCAACAGGCATGGTCCGGGACTGGATGCTGGGGCTGAGCGGCCCAACCCCCTTATTGGTGCGGGCCCGCACTTTGATGTCATAAGTGGTATCGGGCTTCAAATTCGTCAAAGTGATACTTGTGTCCTTGGTGATGTTAACCAGGTCCTGCTGGCTATTTATGTCCCTGTATACCACTGTGTAGTTGACGATCTTGCCGTTTCTTTCTGCCAAGACCGGGGGTTCCCACGCAACCTCTGTGGTGGAAGTGGTGAGACCCACCACGCGCAGGTTTTGTGGGAAGCCGCTTGGCACATCTTCTGCAGTAGTGATCTCCTTCTCAAACTCCTCTCCTGGGCCAGCTCTATTCTTGGCAGACAATCTGAAGAGGTACGTGGCCCCCTTGTGCAGGTTGGTCACAGTGTAGTGATGGTCTCTCTTCCCGAAGTCTATAGTGTTCATCTTTTCCTCATCAAGACGTCTGTACTGCAGCCGGTAACCCAGCAGCTCCCCTACCATCTCCTTGGGGGGATGCCACTGGATGAGGGCTGTGTTCATGGCTGTCGTGCTAATCATCATGGTGGGCTTCCCTGGGACTGCAACATAAACACACAATGACCATCTATAGCCTGCGAGGAGGGGAAGGAAGGACCGCTTCTGTGCTGCTCAGTCCATGAGGATTGAGGAAAGTGGGAAAGTTCAGACAACAGGGTGAAGAGGATGACAGACAATTCACATGGATAGAGGCAGACTGACCCTAATCCAGTGGTGAGGGAAGCTGGAGCCAGCCAGCCCTTGGCTGCCATTTTCCCATGTGCTGCCATCTAAACAGGGAACAAATTCAGCCATATCCAGCCCCAAAATTCATCCCCTTTTACAGGAAAGGTTTAAGGTACCTCAAAGCATCATATTTATCTCAGAGAAGATCTGAATCCCGTCCTCCCAATCAGTGGTCTTCAGATACTCCAGCTAGTGCACAGCACCAGGCCACTCTGGCCCCGATGCACCGTACCACAACAGACACACAGAAGCCCGAGTCCAGCGCCCTGATCTGTCTGGAGGCAGACAAATTTCATCCTGAAACCTTGCAGTTTTACCATCTGCAGAGGCAGCGAGCAGAGCTGGGTGGGCTGTTTGCCATCAGAATACACACTGGCTTAGCTGATGAGCAGGTTCGTGATGTCAGTGTCGATGTGAGAGGTGAACACAAGCGTTCCACAGGATTTTTGTTTATGCTGCACAAGTCAAGGGGTGTTGCCGTCACTGGTTAGGAACTGATGGCTTAAATTGATGGTTTAATACCTTGATCTCCTTCAGTTAAAAAAGGATGCGTCTTCACATCAGCTCAGATTTGTAAACAAATCAACTGATAGGGAAGATACTCAGAATCAAAGGGATGGGGCCATTGATATGAAAACGAAAATGGAATTGTAGCCAAACCTAGTTATATATCCTTGCACAGTTTTCAAATATATAAGCCCACAGATGAGCACAACGTATTTGACAGAATTATGCCCCGATTTTGCCATCAGAGGGCGATACCAACACTCCCCTTTGAGGTCAAGCCTGCAGATGAGCCTGTACAAAGGCAGCTCTGGGGGTGGTTTTGTAGGTGTTTAAGACATACAATTACATTTCCACTGCCAGTGCCATCCTCTGGCACTCATAATACAATGTCTAACAGCAGCTAGTGTTAAGGGACAGATTATTTTCAAAGCTGATTTCAAATATTAACTTTAAATGTGCATCATAACATGGGACGACCCACTGTGGTTTAGAGCGCAACACCGGGATGTTTAGGAAGCTTCTCCTGTTTATAGGACAGCTGTAGCAATTTGATGAACAGAGCATACATCATGGCAAGGCACAAGGGAGACAGCATTTGAGACTGTGACAGTGGAAACTACCTCTGGAGCTCCCCATGTGCAGCACAGAGGAGACGGCAAGCTGTTCCTTGTTTAAAAGCACCAGGAACAAACGCTCTCAGTTTACACAAGCTGCATTCCCGTAATAACAAGTAGTAAATACTGTTCCTGCTGCTGGTGTGAGAAGCAGCAGGATTATCAGTTGTAGGACAGGTCTAGTGAGTGGAAATCAAGGACAAGACAATGTCAACTAGTTGGTGCCACTGTCAAAGATAAGCTTGACCACATCCGGAGGAAAGCACCTGATGAACTCCCGGGTGCCCCTGCTCCAGGCTGAGGCTCCTGTGTTGCACTAGGCACAGGGTACGAGTCTCTACTGAGACAGCAGAACTGAACCGGCTGGGATCACCAGGACCTAGAAGTTGTATCCGCAGCACTTCTATGGCAGGATTTGTTGCATTCCAGATTTTACCACGGCTCTAGGAGCAGCCAGGCTCAGCTACGTAAGCCTGGGGAGGCAGCAGTAGCAATGGCTGGGGGGCAGCTGAGAAGCACCTCTGAGGAACCCCCTGTGCCAGGGACCACCCCAGGCAGCACTGCAGTCACTGCAGGAAGCACGAAATAGCACTCGCCTACGGGAACAAGGCCATGACTCCAAAGCTGAGGGAGGGCCTGGACTTCCAGGCTTCCTCTTCCCAGGTCTCTGGACTATGCAGAGGAGCTCAGACCCGTGAGTTTCACTGCCCTCTCACGGGCCCTGGCAGTGTCTGTCTGCTTGTTTGCTGCACTTTGCTCAGGTGATCCAGTGGCAAAGCCTGTACGTAAGGGCTGGAGATCACAAGAGCAGGTACCTCTGCAGCATCTCCAGCCCTCCCGCTTCCTCCTGTACCAGGGCCTTGGTCATTCTCCCCATGCAGCTCTTGGGAGGTTTTACCACCACCCCTACAAGGCTGTGGGATCTGCTCCCCACACTCACCTGCCCCTGTGGTGGTGATGACTTTCGGCTTGCTGCGGGCACCATCTCCTTTGGTGGTGTAGGCAGCGACTGTGACGGAGTAGGTGGTTTCCGGCAGCAGGCCTCCAATGACCGTCTCCTGGGAGCACATCCATGAGGTGGAGAAGAGGGAAACGAGAAGAGCAAATACTTGTTACTGGAGTGAGCAAAAGGAGAGCACTGGGGTCAGTGTCTCCAACAGCAGCACACCGACACACTTGCTGGCTCACACTCGTGCATCACACTCAAGCACACGTCTCACACAGAGCCAGCAAACAACAACCGCTGCCACTCCAGCACTCACTTGCCTAATTTGAACCCCTGCCTCTAACACTTGGCCTTGCCAGGGACCCACCAGCAACCTGTGCCAGCAGCTGTGCTCTCCCACAGCTTCTGCCAAGAGGAGATCTGCTCCAGAGATGGTCCTGCATGAAGCCAGAGCCACCCTGCCACAGCAAGCCTGTGAGTAAAAGCACTATGGAGCTGTGAACCAGAGCAAAAGTCAGTTCAGCCAGCTGCGGAAACCTCTTAGGGGCTAATTTGGTGGTTTTTAAACTTGTTTCTTGCAGCAGAGCTGCAGGGAGCCACAGAGAGGCAATGCAGGCAGTGGCACGGCCATGCCAGACGAGGGGCCCCGGGCGAGGAGCACCTGCAGCACCGTGCTCACCCTCCCTGCCAGGCACAGTGTTAGGGATAGGATGGGGTCAGTGCAAGGCGTTGGCAAGACCTGGAGGGAAAACCCTGTGCCATGGGAGGTCTGAGAGGAGCGAGGATTCAGCAGGGTGCTATCACCCTTGCATGCTCTGGCTTCCTCTGGGCAGGAGGAGGGCATGGCTCCAAACTTCAATCTGAGATCAAAGAGGGGAGCATGCTCTCCCTCCTGGCCTCCAGCAGGCTGGCCAGGCCTGCAAACGAGCAAACATAGCGAGCTCAGCAGCTCCTAACAGCTCTCTGCGAGCTCAGGGCAGAGATCCCTGAACTGCATTCATCTGTGGAGGCTGTGAAAGACACGCCATACCCATCAGGTCAGGAGGCAAGAGACAGCTGGGCTGGGGGAGCTTTTGGAAAGGAGGCAGAGGCTCTGGGACGGTTATTTACCCTTTTGGACAAGGAGAAAAGCAGAGATGGATAGGGTTAAGCTCGAGTCACTGTTAGAGGCTGCTCCAGGGTCCGATCTCTGCCTGGGGGATCCCTGCCAGCTCGAGGGGTACGAGCGGTGCCTGTGGTTGCTCTCAGAGCACAGCCAGTTCCCATCACTCACACACACAAACACCCATGCTATTAAACCTGCTGATTTCCAGTCAGTGCTGCTGGTTCAGGTTACCTGTCCAGGCTTACTCATCAAAATCACCATGTTACCATTGCAGAACCAGCCAGCCCAGAGAAAAATCAACAAGCACCAACAAGAACCCCGCCAAAATCACCGTGTGAACCAGAGTCCGATCCCAACTCCGCCCCTGCAGCAGATCATGTGTGCAGGTGAGTGGACACGCAGTCCGATCCGTGCCAATGGACCCGCGGGGGAAGCACTCACACAAAACCTGCAGACTCTGAACATCCCAAGAGAATTCACTCCTCCCAAATCCATGCAAAGAGAAATTCTCACGCAAAGGCATGCCACCAGGAGCAAAGCAAGCGAGCTGGGAGGAGGGAAAGACGAAGGATGGAGGAAGGAAGGTCTGATTGCATAATGTAAACACAGTGCTGTCATGACAAAGCCACTTCAAGCGAGAATCCTCTGTATAAAGCAGGAAGAGAAACGCATAGTGCCGGGAAAGCTCACCGAAGGGCACATAATTGAATTGCTGACTCTCAAAAGGTCATTTTCTAGTTTGTTCCTCCAAATTTGTATTTGAAAATTATGTGGGAAAAATTGGATTTAACTGCTTAAATGTGATTGTTTCCTTATTATTATCTGTGTTTCAGCCAAAGGTCATGATTGAGAGTGTAGGTTATTTTTCATAACTACAATCAATGTGGTTTAAAGATTATATATCTAATTTTACCGTGTAACTCAGTGGGCCAACTACTGCAGAAAGTACGATGCACCTCCTGAGTTGATCACTTGAGCCTGCCTAAAACTGCACTGCAACAAGCTGGAAATACAGATTATAGGAAATGTCAATTGCTTTTCTGCATTTAGTAGCAATCTAAATGCCAATTTTCTCTGGATTTGCTGCTTGTGGAAGGTTTCACAATGTAACTCTCCAGCCTCATTAAGGGAGTGAAAGGGATGTTTTGACAGCACTGTGTCTACAAAACTCACAAATCGATTTACCAAACCCCTCTTTTCCAACCTGGAATACACACAAGTGGTACTTACATAGTCGACGGAGTCCTCAGCTCTCCACTGACGGGGGAGAAAGGAAGGAGGAGAGAAAAATGGAGACACAGAATTTTAAGGGGCAACGTGTAGGAAAGGGATGACAACGATGACAACACCAGGGGTTAGCAGGACTGGGTCAGGGGGATTACAACACTTATACACAGAGGGTAACTTGGCACAGGCTGTGCCATGGGAAGAAATGGCATAGAGCAATTTTCTACATGCTGCTAGCCTGCGCAGTAGGTCTGAGATCATTCACACAAACAGGGGCAAAGAGCTTCCTTCTCATATAGATGGAGAGGTCACACTTCCTACCTTTGCAGTCCTCTCCCCTTCTGGCTTTGTTTGTGCTTTTCCTCCCCTTCAACAAGCAGAAGCAAGAAGGGACAGCTTGTACCAACAAGGCCCTGGGGCTGACCGCTGCCCCACAAGTCACTCACTACAGTTTTGTGGCCTAACCTCCAGTTTCAGTCCTAGTGATCCGCCGGCCACCATCTCTTGTTGAGAACCAAAGACTCCAACACACAAAACTCAAGAGGACACTCTTTGCAGGGAAGCACCAATCCAACGTTTACAGAGCTTTCCTTTCCTGTACCATTTGCAAGAAAATGCTCTGGGGACCTCAGAAAACTGAGAAGTGCCACCTCTTGTCAACAGCGCAAGAGAGGCTGAGACCTTACACAGAGCTCCACACTAAGCTGCTCCTCTCCAATGGCGCCATGTGCCTTGGAGCAAGGCTCAAACTGCTGGATGTACTGAGGAAACAGCTTCTCACTCCCAATTACACAACACCAAACGGCAAACACTTGTTTCGCAAGAGCAGCCCTGCAGGTAAGACTTCCACACAAACCATCTCCCAGCAAAATCTCACATGAGTTTCCAGCCACGGCAGCTCAATTAGGGCTCTGAAGAAGGAATACGCCGGTTTCTGGCTGGATTTGGGGTTTTAAAGCATTAAAGCTCCATTGGGGTGGTGAGATTTATCAGACTTTGGCTGCTGCCATGCACGCCCATAGCACTGTTCTTTGTGGTTGATGCACCAAAGGAAGGTTTGCAGAGATCACAGCGAGCTCTCTCAGCCAAGGTGATGCCTTACATCTCGTTACATCTCAGGTTACTAAATCTGCCTGGAGGAAGCATCAGTCGATGGGTTCAAGCACACAGATGAAAGTGGAAGATAAGTCGTACTGCCCCTGACTCACAGTGTGAGCCTTGGCAAGCCTGACCAAGCTGTGAAATGGTGCTCAGATACTGACTTCTCAGGACACTGGGAAGCCCAGCTAACGCTGCTGAAGTTGCTGAGAACTTGCAAGTGCTGCAGAAGTACTGAAGAGTTTTAAAGGTACAAGCTGCCTCTTGTACTCAGGCTATTTGAGGTGGCCCTCACAGACTACAGTTTATCACAGTGGCTGAGTACTCTCCTCAGCAGTAAAATATATGGCATGCCTTCAAAATATTTGTTCTTTTCTTCTCTAAATTCAGAAAAAATCTCTTATTGGAGAAATGTTCCTCTAAGATTTTATTACAGTTCACTTACTTGACGCTATGAAAGGGCATTAGAATTATCCCCCTAAACCATCTTGAAATTTAATTTCATCGAAGAGGTCAAATTGTCCCTAAAGACTTCCTATAAAGCCAAGGCCCTCACTAAGTATTATGGTCACTAAGGACCCTCCTTCCGCACACATTTTGGTGTTTTTTCCAGTGTTGCATGCTCAGCCCAACCCAAGTCACTGCTGTTGCTGTCCTACCTGCACTAGCCAGCCCACGCTGTGGTCAGCAGCCACACGTTCTGTCCTGCTGATCTAAAACCTGTCAAAAGTCTTGCTACAGGAAGGATACGAGGCCTGGCAGCAACTTTTCCCAGAAGTACACTCCTGCTCCAACACCATGTCCCCTGTGGACAGGGGTCACACTGATGGTAACACCCCAAACCGCCTCCATGTAGCTGCAGGAGCAGGAGGTGATGACCCCTGCAATGAACCGTGGAGCAGAGCTGGCCTCAGGAAGCTACTGCATTGCACAGCCTCTCACACCACAGCAGGGAGTTTATCACCCACTAGGATTCTAGAGCAAGTGTTTAATGTTCAAACTCTGTTTGCTCTTATGTTTCAGTGGACTTTAATCTTGCATCAGATCAGAGTGCAAAGAAACGCCTTGAGATCTGTGCTGGAGGAACAGTGAAAAGCCAGGCCTGCATAAATACCCTGGTATAAATTCAGTTTCATTACGAAAATATAATCTGCAGATCAAAACACTTCCCTCCTTAAACTAGCTCAATTGCTTCTTAACTGTTTAAGGTTGGTCAGTAAGACAAATTGATCTGAAATGCCCAAGAGCTGCCATAAAAAGAGTGCGGTGTGGATGGGGCAGGATAGCTCAGGGAAGTGCTGAAGCTAGCATTGTGTATTTATGGCAGCTGCAATGCCTTAACGTTCCATTTTACACTTCAACACAGCACAACATAGTCACGTCTCACCAGGGAATGGCTGTTTTCCCTGACCACAGCTCTTGCTAAAGACAAACTCAAGCCCCCCTAAACAGTCCCAGCTATGGGAAGTGGATATTGGGGTTTTCCTGCAGATCCTTCTCCTCTGTGCTACGCTGACTTAGGTACAACAGTGAAACTCCAGATGTAAACTCGGGTGCTCAGCTTGTGGGATGTGGAGAGGTCCGAGGGCTCCAGAACTCCACCTTTGTCCATTTGTGAAATGCCTCTTGGATGGTACCTTTAAGTTTTGTTCCACTCACAGAGTACATCTCACCTCCATGCCAGACTCTTACCTAGACGAATACACATGCACGAGGAGTTGTTCCAAGTAGATTCAGATAAAAATCCTTGACTATCCCCCAGCGAAAGAGGGAGGCTGTAAATTCCTCTGTGTTATGCCTGGGGTGGGCACTGCCCAGGGAGAATCAGAGTCTCTGCTTCCCCCTTCTCCTTTGATCTCAATCCAACATCTTGAAGTGCTTGCTGTTACTTCTTCCTGCTCTTCTGGAGCAAGGTGGTGGGATGTGCACTTGGTGTGTATGCTGGATGGAGAAGCGCTGCCTGCAAAGACCTCACAACCTTCTTGTGAGCCCGCAGCCCTTCACATGGGCAGCACACCTCTCCCCTGCCATGACTCTGCAGAGCAGGACAAGGAGGTGGCAGGAGTCCCTCCTCCACAAAGCCCGACCTCCTCGTACCCAGCCAGCTCCCAGCAGCAGAAGCCCTGCAAAGCTCTCTGGGCAGGCCTGGATCTGCAGAGGGCTGTAAGCAGCGAGGCTAATGTGCATGCTGCATCCACACATGGGTGATGCAGGCAGCAGGCTCCCTGGCAAATACGTCACACAGTCAAGGGCAGGAGCAGTTGTTGATGACACATAGCAGCATGGGGATAAAGTACCCCCGCAAGACATTCCAGGCTGAAAGCAGCACACAAAGGATCCACAGCTAGATTCACGCAGGGTCTAGTTGCCTGTTTTGGAGGGGAGCCCGAACAGGAAAGCCTGTCCTCCCCTGGCCCCGCTGCTTCCTATGTGCCCAGCGCTCCAGACCCACCAGTGCTGCCCGGCACAGCTCAGCACTGAGCTCTGCAGGGCACATTGGACTGGCAGCCTGGGAAAGGCTGGAGGGATCAAGCCCATCGCTCCTCCTGACATGCTGCAGCTGCCCACAGATTTGAGACCAAGGAGAGCAAGTGGCCCTCTGCCCTGCCCTGAAGAACCTAGTGCTAGCGCCCCATGGCCCTGCTATCTCCTGCTCCCTCAAGCTGGCGAGGACCTGTAGGAGAGTCATAGGGCACAGCTGAGACCCTTTACCGGTGCCCCTGCTCCTACCAAAGGCTCTCTCGGTGCCAGGATGCATTGTGCACAGAGCCAGGAATGCACAGCATCTGCGGCAAGAGGGAAAGGACATCCAGGGCACAGAAATGAACCTTTAGCCATCGCCCACTGTGGGACCTGGCTGAGTCACGATGGGCAGGGCCAGTGCAGGAGGTGGTGTGGGTATCTGATCCAGCTCCACAGCAATACACCTGCTCTCGCTGGGCGCTCCTCCACAGGGCACAGTCACATTTGCTTGTCCATCAGACTGTCAGTAGGAGGTGAGAGCTCCGAATGGAAGGCACGGAGAAGTCTGACAGAGGTAATCAGTCACAGGCGCAGCCACAGAGGGGAGGGAGATGCCTCAGCTCCATTGCAGGACCTTCCTAGCAACTGATTACTCTCCTTAGGCAGGAAGCTATAAAATAAAATGTGATCTCTCCAGCACCAGGGCCCCCACTACTCTGCTGATGTTTTAGTCTTTTTTGCTCAAATGGTTTTGAAAACTCTGAATCTATATTATCTGCATAGCTAACATCTCCATTCCTTTTCCTTTTTCCTTTCATCTTCGTTTACTCTCTCTATATTTCTCATCTTCAATCAGCAAAAACCACAAGTCAGCTTTAATACCAGTGCCTTCATACCATCTGCAGGAAGCAGATTATGTGGTACATACCCACTCAAAATCAGCAGACAGCCTGGCTAGGCAGGAGGAGGGGCTCTGCCTACATGTCCAGAGAATTCCTTCCCTGACCCCAGATTTTCAATTAGTTTCATTCTCTCCTTGTGCACTCGAATGAATGTCTTGTGCACTGGAATGAATGTTTACGACTACTGAACTGCAGCTATATTCTGGTCATCTTCATCCTGTGACCTTCAGGGACAGGTGTTTCTGTGAATCTTTTTGTTTTCTTCCATAGAAAATAACTCTTCCAAGACTACTCATTGAAGTTGGATCTGGCTGTTTGCAAAGACATCCGCTGCTGTACTGAAACATGGCAGTTCTTACAGGGTTCTTCAGCTTCTAGAGCAGATGTATTTCATCACAAGCACAGGTCATGCCTGGCTTCTCATTCTTGTGGGAAATAAAGATCTCTTCTGCCAAGTCAGTGAAACCTCTTCCCTGCAGGGTCACCATTAGTTTATCCCAAGAGTGACATGACTCCTTCAGAGTAGTCACTTCTCTGCAACTATCTTTTGGCCTTCACTTCCATCCAAAAATTACAGCAGATGAGTTCAGCACCATACATGCCAAAAAAAAAAAAAAAAAATCACAGCAATCAAAAACTTTCCCACATAAATTCACCAAATATGAAAGACTGGTAAGTTGTCTGACAGGCCAGGAAACTTCAAGCAACTTGCCTCCTTGATGCACACATATGAAATAATGCAAAATCCAGCACTCCTTGGAAAGTTTCTGGCTCCGACATCCTCATTCCTGCACATTAGCTTGGGGTTTCTTTCTCTGAAATGTATGAGTTAGGAGCAAAAGCAGAACTGGCTGGGCAAGCATAAAATATTTGAAAACACCAACAAGAACAACATTGCCAACTTCGCCCACCTACGCTTGGGACCAATCCATTAACTCCAAACTCCAGCTGAACAACACAGCATCAATTGTTCAAACAACACAGAAGATTATATCCTCCTGGAATAAGTAAAGGGCAGTAAGTAGCTTTTCTAGCAATTAAAATAAAGCAACATCTGAAACATAAACAGAGACGTGCCCCGGACAACAACTGCAAGGACCCTAAAAGCATTTTCTGCCTTTAATTTTCCCCTTCCACTTTATTACTGAGTTTTATCCTTCAGAATGGGGAGTAAAGTCGCCTCTGAGCACTGCACTCCCCACTGACAAACGTATAAATGATTCACAGCTGCATTCAGGAGACAGATCAATTAATCGTTGCAGCTCTCCAGTATTTATATTGGGCATCATTCAAGCTAGCCAGCTCTGAATCGATTACTCATCACTTCCAACACCAGCGGTTCCTGTACTTCATTTATACGATTATCTTTGTTGAGATCAGCATGGGTCATCCAGGATGAAGGACCCTTGCTCCAAAGAAGAGCTGTATTTCATCACAGACAGGGCACCAAAAACTTCCCTGGACCCTAGGAAAGAGGCAACTACACATTGCTGGGCTGGGCAGAGCACAACCATGCCTGGAGCACCACGTGGGAACACAGTCTCAGCTCACAGCTGGTGAGGTATCCAGGAGATCGCATAAATATGAGCAGATTGTTGGACAGCAATTGCAGAGGGCAAAGTCATTTACAGGTGATGTGGGTCTGCACCTCACTCTTCCTCCCCCTCCCTCCCCCAGTCTTTCCCAGAGTCCGTTGGCTTCACCTACAGTTTGGTTTCTAGAGGCAACACAAAGTCAAGTGCCTGCCTTGCAAAAGCAGGAGGGAAGGGAGGCTGTGCCCACCCAACAGTGCAGAGCCACCCCTGCGCCCCACGAGCAGGCAGCACCCTGGTGGACTCTGCCAATAGAGAAGCTTTGCCCTGAACATTGTCAGCAGCACGAAAGCAGCAGACTCAAGGCTTATTTAAAACTCTCCGGTGGTTTCATAACCTGACTGGCAAAACATAATTTGCTCCAGCTGGAGTCTGCACAGGACATAGCAGGCAGAGAGAGGTACAGGTCAGAAAAAGGGTAAGAAAGGAGCATCATCCAATACATCATCTTTCCTAAACAATCCTTTCCTGATTAAGCTTTTCACCCATTTGTAACCCACAGTTTAGGGATAAATTGTTTGCCTTGCTCAGGCAGGGCTGAGTCCCACGCTCTGGAGCTGCAAGAGGAGGCCAAGAAATACTTGGATCCACCCAGCCTGGCCCTCTGCGGAGAGGGAAGGTGCCATGCCCACCAGCCCCTGGTCCCCACACTGTACCTGTGCTTCCGACAGCATGACGTCCTTGATCACTGGCTGCCCTCGGGGCTCGTTGTTTTCCAGCTTCACATATGTAACCTGGTACCCGCGGATCTGCCCGTGCTGCTTGTTGGAGATGGGCAGCTTCCAGCTCACCCGAATGGCCGTCGAATTCACAGATTCTACCTCCACCTTTCGCGGTGGGGCGCTGGGCACTGTAACACACACAGGACAGACAGTTAGCAAGCACCACACAACTACTGTCATCTACATCTCCCTCCTTTGCTACCTTCCCTCCACCTCATTACAAGGATGGCCCTGATGCCACAAGTTCCCTGTACCTGCCCAGGACGTCATATGGCAGTTTTCCAGCGGGACCATATCCCCGGACCCTCTCCCAGCACCCAAGCACTTCTGCTACTCTCAGTAGGAAAAAGCATGACTGTGATATGCAGGAGCACCCCTAATAAAAGCCACTGTGCTGGATCAGACCCAGGGTCCATCTTGTCTCCAGCAGTAGGGGGAGCAAGGAAGAATACAAGAATACAGCAGCATATAAAGAACAGGGTAACCACCTGCAGCTCAGGGTGCCCTGCAGCAGAGGCAGGGGTTTTGAAGCCTTCTTTACATCCTGCTTGTCACAACACCTCCTCTCAGCTCCCTCTGTGTACACCCAAATGCAGTCCCACAACCCCAGGTAGTGTGGCTGGGTGCCGAGCCTGCCCTGTGGGGAGCCCTGGTACCTGCCATCAGCCAGAGCGCACACACTCTTCCCCTGTGACAGCGAGAGGTTAATGAGGAGGAAAAGCGCCATCCTAAAACAATAACCCAGAGCTCAGAGACAGCAGTCACTGAACTCAGCCAGATAAAGGGGCCCATGGGGATTGTGACAGCTCTGGGGACTGTATTTCATGCACGGCTAGCTGAATGCTTTTTGATAATAAAATGAAAAATTACACTGCCCAGAAAATATCCATTTTCTTGCAAGGTGAAGCCCGTTTAAAAATGTATTTATACCCTATTTACCATTTGGAAAAATTACCTCCTTATTACTTTTTGCTCTTGCATTGACTGTGACAAAAATGTCAATGCTAAAAAATTAGCTTCTCAGTTGCTCCTGGAAAGCTCCTTCCATCTGAAGCAGCGGGGAGCAGAGGTGTGCACTCCCTGCAGAGAACATCGCTGCTACACGAGTGCTCAGTACCCAAGTGAAGGACCTGGGCTCCATCCTTGCACCACTACTGCAGGACCCCTTCCGCCCTCCACTACCGGGGAAAATCCAGGGGTTTGGAACTCTGTACGCCCCAATTCTCAACACAGTAAGAAATAATCAGTACTAGATAATTAGGGAATGGATAGCTGACAAGCAGACATAATGGGTATTGCTGTTTCAACCAACTAAATGGGAAGAAACAGCTACCCAGTAGGTAAGCACAGTTTTTAAGCCGCAGGGCAATTAATTATTTTCCCCAGATGTCCTTCTTAATTGTAGATAATTAAATGAAATAGAGAAAGAAGGAATGGAGCACTTTAGTACCACGAGGCCAGCTCAAGGTATGGGAACGGAGGGGGCTGTGCTTGAATGGTTACCTCCTTCTGGCTGGAGCAGCCTGCGCTGTAATCCACAATTCACTTGGTGCAGTGACCTTGCACAAGCCACAGGGCTCTCCTGCCCTAGCAAGACACCTGCCCACACACACAGTTGGGAGTCCAAGTGAAAAACAAGATCCTCCCTGAGAGCCAGACAGAAGCTGCGTGTCAAGCTCTGCTGGCAAGAGAAGGCGGGAGGCCTTGGCAGGACGTAATATGGGGATGTTGCAGGGACACAAAATTATGTGAATGTGAGCAGATGACAGTGTTTCGAGGAACACCATCGTACCCCATTATGGGAAATATGTGCTGCACCTGAGAACCAAAGAGGGAAAGCTCAATTTGTGTTTAGATCACAGTTCAGCATTTCTCATTCCTTCATCACGGTTATCTACTAAACATCAGCATGTCAGAGGGATACGAAATCACTCCTGACAGCTAAGCTGGAATGTCCAACCACTGTGCCTGAAAACTAACTGAGAGAGTTTGTTGCGACATTTCTGGGGTAGCAGCTTCCCCTGGGCTACAGCTCTGCAGAATGAGAACTGAAGCAAGCCATACAGGCAGCAGGACACACACAGATGTGTTTGCCAGACCAGGAATGCAGTCAGCAAACATTCCTGGATGCCACTTCCAGAGCCACGGAGACGTGGGGGACAGTGGCCGCCCATTTAGGGAAACTGTAACATGTCTGGTTTCAATTTGCTACGCTGACTGGGCAACGCAGAGATCATCCTTTCTTTGCCTGCACGCTGCAACTCCTTTTTCTCCCATTAGATCCACAGCTTTTGGGGTCAGCATGAAGCCATGGAAGCTCCTACTGTCACCCTGAGCTCTGGCACTTTCAAAGGAAATGGCTTAAGCCATGATGACATAACTGACAGCCCTGCTAACACAAAGCAATTTCTCTTTAAAGCTGTCGTATCCAGTAAAGTGTTCTGTACATGCGATATTCTGACTCTCGAGCAGAAGAGCAGATTTATATAAGCTGTGGCTTGCCTGCAAGCTGGGGCAGGCAGCAGCTCTCCTGTGATAGCCACAAGTTTCAAATTGATTTCTTTTCCCCTCCTTAGCTTGTTGGATTTCAGGTCAACAAGTCAACTTTTAAGTCCTGATCACAACGTGAAAGAAACCTCTGGCTGGGAGAACTCACGTTACACCTTCAGTAAAATGGAAACCACCACCCCAAAACACTAGAAAGTCCAAATGGCAAAGCAGTGCAATGCCTCCTCCTGTGTGCAGGAAGCACTGCTAATACACACAGGACCCTTGTGGGACCACGCTAGGACATCTGACCTACAGCCTGGAAGCAACCATTGCATCAGAGCAAGGGCCAGCAGAGCAATCCCCCACCCTCAACTCCAGGGCAACTGTGGACACTCACTCCTTGGAGCAGCTGACCAAAGCACTGCTCCTGACAGCCTCTGGTCCTGCTTGAAAACCACTCTTGGGCCAACATCCCCACTCCTTCCCCCCCTTTCCCGGCAATGCAGCTAGGAGAGTCCTGGTTACCCCAAGGCAGTAGCTGAAGGAGCTGTTCAGTAACACCTACCATCCTCGTCAGTGCGCACGTGCACAGGGATGCTCTCCGGTCCTGGCCCCACATCGGTGTGAGCCCTTACCCACACCTTGTACTCCGTCCATTTCTCCAGGTCCTTGATCTCCCAGCTGGAGTGCTCCCGTCCAATGCCATCCACCACATGCTTGGTGTTGTCATCTCCTTCCACTGCCTGGTATGCAATGGAGTACTGGGTGATGACCCCATTGCGGCTCTGGGCAGGCGGTGGCACCCAACTTACCCGGATGGTAGTGGAGCTGGTGCTTATACACTCGACTTCTTGGGGTGGGGCGGAGGGGGCTGGGGATAAATAAATGAACGGGGGAGATGAAGGGAAATGAGTGGAAGGACAAACCAAAATGCACAGGGAACTTTTACCCAGCCAACCGAGCACTGGACATACACATGGAAATTCGGCCAGTAGCCTCCTGGACAACTGCCTGCCTTCCTTGCACACCATTAAAGATGGCACTAGGGGCAACTTGTATTTGAAAGCCTGATGAACAGAAGTGCTGTTCCACATCAGAGAACACCTCTTCCCAAAGCAGTTCTGGAAGCTCACTTTACCAAACACAACAAATGGCAGCAAGGGAAGCGCAGTGTGAGAGAGAGACTGGTGGGGAGAAGAAAGATGCTTCCAGTGAAGATCTGAAGCAGATGGAAACCAGAAGGGGTAGGAAGCTACAGAAGGCAAGAGTGACAGAAGGGGAAGCTCACACACCAGATTGTATGCAGGCTTGCAAAACCCGCTCCTAGACAAGTGGAGGAAACAAAAGAGCGTAGGGGTGACTAAGGCTGGCTGGAGTGTGTCCAGGCGGGTTTGAAATCACGACCATCAGCTGTGAGCAGCACCCTGACCCAGGTGGGAGGCAGGCACCATGTGGAAACAGGAGATAACAAGGTTGTGCTGCTTTGCACGTGTGCCTAGTATCTGGGACTGTCTGCTTTGCGCCTGACAAACTGGTTACCTGCCTCAGTGGCTTCCTGGCCTATGGAGCTGTACAGGGGAAGGCAGGCAGGTCTTGTCCCCTCCCAGGCAAAATACCACCTGCAGTTTGTGCTAACTTCTAAGCCCCAGAAACGGTAGCTGGCCACAGGAGGAGGAATGGGATCGGGGCAGTGGACATTTCTCACTGGGATGAGGAGTAGTCCTCTCTACACAACATGGCTGGTGAAGAGCAGTGAAACAAATCTGGGGGCAAGGGGGAAGAAAGGCATTGGGAAAGGAAACGACCTGGACAAAGCAGAGCATCTCTAGGATGCCTGCCTGATTCATTCCCTTTTCCAGCCTTGCAGAACTGCCATCCTGTTGCAACAGGGCCCTGGCAGCATGGGAGCCCTCTCATAGCAGCAGCAGCCCTCTCCCATTCGGCCTCATTACCGAGGGATGCTGCAGACAGCATGCTTGCACAGAAGACAAGGGTGGAAGCCTGGAGAAGGAATGGAGCCCAGCTGGTCGGGGAAGGCACAAGGGAGATGGGTCCATCCCGGGTGCTTGCACAGAAGGCAAGAGCCCTAAGCAGAGAGGACAGGGCAGCACCACCAAAAAAAGCACACACAGTTGCTCTAAGGCTAGAAAGCTGTCTGGACAAGCAATAATGGAGTACAAGGTATTTTGCTTTGCCACAGCAGGTGAAAGGCTGCTTCCATTCTTCACTGCACACAGAAAACTAGAAACACCTGAAAAAAGACTGGTGCCCTTCCCTGTGCTGCAGTCCATGAAGCCATCAGTGCACCAGAGCCAGCCTTCCTGGGGCACCGGGACAAGCCTGGCTGCTCACCGCCTGCACAGAGGCAAACACAACCTACATGACTCCAGATAGCAGCAGGGACCTCAGATAATTAAAGCACCCAGCAACTGTGCCTTGAGTTTGGTGGGCATAGGTGGGCAGTGGGAAAAGATGTAGGAAAGGTGGGGACAGCAGGAACTTCCAATGCCACTGGTGACTTCTGCTTGCTGGGAACAAGGTCCACTTGCTTGCAGAGGCAGTCGCAGGCTGCATGCAACTCTTGGTGCCCATTTCTGTGCTCAGGGAGCAGGGACCATCCCTGGTGCATGGGCCAGGGTGCCTGAAGAGAGGAAAGATGGAGGGAGAGTGGGCAGTGACGGAGCTGGAAGAGAGAATGCCTGACCAGAGTCAGGCTGCTGCTATGGGAGCTACACTGGAGGAAAGCGAAGTCAAAGCAATGCACGGAAGGAAACAGTTGCCTACTTGAGGCAGAGTGGGACTGGACCTGCCATCTGGTGCACCGGAAGGAAGCAGGAGTAGAAAATGAATCCCCACACTCTTGGTTAATCAGCAGAGAAGTGGCAGAGAAGAGAGTAGGAAGATATAGCACCACCAAGAGTGGTATTAAGAGATATAGCAACATCAAGAGTGAATTCAGGTAGACACAGTGTGTGGTGGCATTCCTCAGAGGGGACAGGTGAGACATAAGGAGCTTGGCAAGCTTTTCCTTTGCCACTATCTGCAGAGAGGCCCTTCACAGAAGAGACTTGCTCTGGCTTTGGGCCTCTAGAGCATCTCTTGGGATGCAGCAGTGAGCTCCTTCTCCAAAGGCAGCTTTAGCTGGCAGTGTGGGCAGGTCAGATGTTGGCTGTTGACTGGGTAAGAGTCACACACATGACGTGCAAGGCAAAAACTCAGATTAACACTTAAAGAAAGCAAAATAAAACTTGGTAACATGAGAAGGATCAACTTAAAATGCACAAGGAGTGGAAGTGTCCCTCCTGGGGTGGGCAAAGAGCAGACTGGGTGGCCAGCATGCACCCACACATGCAGACATACCCATACGCACACTGTGCAAATCTCTGCTGCCTCCAGGCTACTCACCCCAGCCACCCCCACCGGCCCACAGCACCCCTGTGAGCCCATCAAGCCCACCTACTCCCTAAGCTAGGGAAAAGGCAGCCTCTAGACCCACATCAGTGTTTCAAGCGAGAACAGCATTTTAATGCTGAGGCCTGATGGGCACAGAGCTGACGCTCCTCTCCTGCATCATACTGCTTGCCTGAGGCACCACAGACTCCTGGAAAACTCCTCCGTGGTCCTCAGACCCTCAAAGCAGCATTGCTTGTACTTTTTGGAGGTTCCCAGCATCTAAGCTAGCAGCTTAGCAGGCAAGAGAGTCCAGAAGGCAGCTGTCTTCTCAGGAGACAGGATCCGAGCTGTGCTGCTGGAAGGGTGCAAAGGGGCACTGTACCCCTCTGGCCTTTCTGGACAGGCATCCCTACCACTCCTGGGTAGGGATGCCACAAGAAAAGCCCAGCAGCAGCAATACAGACATCCTTCTCCAGCCCATTAGTGACTCATAGTGATGATGTGCCTCCTACCTTACCCTTGACTGGTTTGTCAGGGACAGGAATAGAGCCTGAAGACAGGCTCCCTGGAAAGCAGGAGTTTGACTGTTGCCGCAGTTTGTATCCCACCTGAACATGTCAACTGCCAAGATTTAACAGCCTTTCTCAGGGCAACCAGATGGAAGAGTGCAGGAAGGAGACCAGTTTGAAGCTGGGAGCAACTCTCTTTCTAGATTAGTAAATTCTAAGGCCACACGGGACCAATCCATCCATCTAATGTGAGGTGTTGCTAAGTGCAGACCAAAGAATTTCTGCCTGGAAATTGTGCACACAACTTCTGCTGAGCTAAAGCAGAGCTTTCTGAAAGACCTACTTGACTTTGAGACCCCCAGTACCCAAGAATCCACTCTGCCCTGGGACTGTTCAGCCAGCGGTTTGTCACCCTCACTGAATGGCCCAGTAGTAACTGCCAAGGACCCTTCTCAGAGAATAGATTGCCAGCAGGGATCTTCTATTGCCAGCAGGTATCTTCTCAAGTAGGGGCCTGTAAACCAAGACCCAGTCACTTCTTGGATAAATCAAAGAACCCTTAGGGCCCTCAATGTATGGAGGGTTTCACTGGTCAAACCAAGCTATTCCTGTGGCTTTTGGACAGATCTCTTCCAGCTTGTGCACATCTCTCTTACTAAACAGATGTCTGCTGGCCAGTGAAGCAACAACCTTAAAAACACACCGGTATGAGATCCTCTGTGAGCAGACAGCATGTGAACATCATGGGAAGATATCTGCCTTGAAGAGTCCACAAAGCAAAGGTTTTTCTTATTTGGACTCCTGTGAGATTCTAAAGGACTCATTTATGCATGGAGCTGTCTCTGATTAAGTCTGTTCAAGGATAAGAGCATCCACTGATGGAATTAATTTAAGTGCAGGAGAGTTGCTGCAACCTTTGCCTATCAATACAAAAACTATCTGAAATAGGTATACAAATCCCCAAACTTAGAATTTGTTCTCACTGTTCAAATATTTATAACTGCACGATCTGAACCTCTCTCCATTTTCATACCTGTCTATTGTGCAGTACTAAGACACCATTAGCTCACTTAAGGAGGTGGAGGAATCCCTGTGACTGATATGTTAATGAAGCTGAGTTTTCCTGAAAGAGAAGGTCATTCCAATGGTGAGCAGAGCTGCTCTTCCCTGCCTGAGCTCCCTTTCTAATGGCCATCTCAGGCTCTCGGCTGCTGTGTGTGCTGGCACCCTCCCGGCAGGGAAGGCTGGCTGCCTTTGCCAACCGCTCACCCCACAGAGCTAGTAAATCCCAGACAGACGGTGCGAACGGAAATGTCTTTTTCCCCCCCTTTTAATGCTCTTTGCATAATGGCAAGCCCAAAAATCGTTAGTGAAAACGAGCTTATCGCAGGGCCCTTTGATAGCCTTAATCTGCTTACGCGCAGCACTTTGAGCTGCCAATCAGAGCAATGCAAACTCCTGCTCTGTGATCACATGGGGCAGAGTGAGGATGAAAGTGATATTGCCTGGGTCACCTCATTATCTAGCCTCTCTGTTAACTCAGCTGCAGCTCGTTCTGGTTTCCCCTAGTGCTGCAGTCCCAGAAGCAGCAGCCTCACTTGCTCACACAACCCAGGGAAACAGCCACTTGCCCAAACTGACTCCTCCAGCTGCCTGACAGCCACAGGCACAACCGGCCTCGGAGGATACTTGCAATCAAGTGTATGCACCAGACCTGGACTCCTGTGGAAGCAAGGCAGCTGGAACAGGGAGTGAAGGGGTGAAAATCCAATGGTTTGGAGACAAGTCACATTTAGAGCCAAACACCCATATGCTGCCTGTCCAGACAGCTTGTCTGCATGGGAGTGAATTCATAGAGATGCACAAACCCACTCAAATCAATCTCTCCAAAGCATTTCCCAGCCTGCTTCACTTCTCCATCAGTTTTTACGAATCTACCCTTAGGTAAAGATGGCATGATCAAAGGGACGTGAAGAAACAACTTACCACTTCGGTGCACCCCCTCTGCCAAAGAGCCCTGATTCAAAACCCCAGCTGACTTTCACCACTACACCCTTTACCAAACTGCATGCCGGCATCCCTTCAGATGGGCAGAGGCACTGAGCTACTCTGTGCCCAGGCAATGGAAACTGGACTGCTTTTGCTTCATCTTCAGTAGTGCAGAGTGTCAGAAACTTACTGGATTGGGCAGTTCTGGCTTCAATCATGGGGGTGTAGACTCCTACTCCCAGCTCTGAGCGGGCACCCAGACGGAACTTATACAGCGTGTCTGGCTTGAGACCTTCCACAGCATACGAGGAGGTTGGGTCAAACTCCACCTTTTGCTGGCAAATAAAGGGAAACACAGATTATCTGGTGTAGTTGGAGAATACAGAAAATCTGGCTCTCAGCTCCCAGTGCCAAGGGAATAGGCAGCCCTATCACCCATTCTGGCCCCACAGAAAGTCACAACCATGCTGCCAAACCTGTTGCAGTCCTGCAGGACTCCAAGGCATGGAGCTTTCTGGGTGAAATACAAGGATTCTGCAGGTAAGCAGACCTCTCTGACAGCCAGGCTGCACTGCCTGGTGTCCAGACCACGCTCACTGCCTGACAGCTTTGTGGGAATGCTGGGTCTAGCTACACAGTCTAGATGAGGGGCACAGGACACATGAGCTTGTTTCCTCCCAAAAGACAGTGTCTGCCTGTGAAACAGAGTAAAGCCTTTGTCCTGGAGTAGCTGGCATCTCTAATGCACCTAAACAGTGCTGGTAAAGGACTTGTTTTGCTGCTACTTCACCCGGAGGGCACTTATTTCTGTCAGCTCTCGTGCCACTATAAACACAGGAGAGGACCAGGGTACACTGTGGTGCTGTCACGGCACAGTCCTCACTGTGCTGCAGCCAGCACTACTTTCGATATATTTAGAGCTGGACTTCTTTTAGGGACCCGACAGTAAATGTGGAAGGGCTCTCTATAGGCCACCCTCAATCTGCTCCTTAAGTGTAACCAGTCCTGGAGCTGCAGACACATTTTGGAGGCCATTTCAGACCCACCTGCAAGCCCTACTGCACTACTTTTTAAAGGCTGTAAAGGATGTCTCAAGGATGGTGGCGTGGTATTCTGGAGCCTTTTCAGTCCCAAACGAGTCACCAGCTACTTTGCTGGACATCGACAAACACTGCTGAGGTCACTTACACAGAAGCCAGACAGAGATTGTCATACTCCTATCACACACCCATGAGACAGTAGAAACGTGTAGGAGAAACAGTCCTGTTGCCACCCCAGCTCAAGCAGACACCCTTCCCAAGCTGCTGAATTGTTATGTCTGGCCCCAAGTACTGGTGATGCAGAGGCAAGATCCTCACCTGAGTGCCATCCTCCCCCTCCCAGTAGAGCAGCTCGTATTTGGTAATGCGTTCCTGAGAGGCGGGCAGCCACGTCAACAGGATGCGGGTGTCAGACTCTGCTTCTGCCTGGAAGTCAGCTGGCTGGGCAGGAACTGGGGACCAAACACATCGTTAGTGCCAAGAGGCAAATGCAGGAAAAGGAGATGCACAGCTTTGCAGAGTCTGCATTTTACCTTGTGAGGATTCTCTTTCATTCCTTCTGAACCCTCCCTTCTTCTCTCTCCCAGTACTGAACTCTTGGAACAACCCAGGCAACAAGCAAGCACCTCCTGCAACCCAGGCAGCTGACCATGGGAATTGCGCTCACTTCCAGCCCCTGACTGCATCCCAGCTCCTTCCTTCCACATGCATACTCAGACCCCAGAAGGCCTGGCACAGTTCCATAGGTGCCAATATCCACGTCCAGGACCTTGTGTCACATTTTAGCCACTGTATCCCCAGACAAAACCGTGGGCTGTGTTACTTGTACAGAGATTGATACCAGCTCCCCAGGACAAGTGGATAGCTTAAATCTGATAGCTGTGGGGTGAGGATGCCACTCTGACATGCAACCATTTGAGCACCAAGTACAGATCAGGCACAGCTGAGCTGCACACCACTGGGGCGGACACAGAGCTGTGACACCTCACTCCATACGTACCCCCTTGCTGCGTTTTGACCTGGATGATGTCTGAGGGGGGCCCGTCGCCCACTGAAGTAAAGGCCAGGACGCGGATGCTGTATGTGGTCCCCGTGATGAGGCTGCCCACGGTGGTGAGGTGGCTGTCGTCAGTGTTGTGTTTCTGCCACATGCTCAGAGGCAGATGCGGGTCAGTGGTATAGTAAACGCGGTAGCCTCTGATCTGTCCATTTGGTTCCTCTGGCTGCTCCCACTGGACCAACATGGTGCTGGCGCTCAGCATCCGTGCCTGGACTTTGAGAGGTGGACTTGAAGGAGCTTGCTCTCCTGTCCGGGCTTCGACCAGCTCACTGGGGGGACCCCTGCCAATGTTATTGACAGCGATGACCCGGAACTCATACTCCGAGAAGGGGCTGAGCCCACCTATGCTATAGCGGGTTGTTGCCACACCATCCACCTCCTGGAACTGACCCTCCAAGGATTTGGGCTTGTACTGGATGACGTAATATGAAATGGGGTCGGAGTTGCCTGAATCCCAGGTGAGGGTAACGCTGGTAGCTGTCGTTTCAGTCACTAATGGCTCTGTTGGAGGTTTTGGCAGTGCTGCAATTGGAAGGCAGAGAGGTGTGATTTAAATAATTCAGTCAGCTAAAACCCTGCAATGTGCACGGGGATAAAAATGGAGCCGCCACCTCCCATTAACATTCTTCTTTAAAAGGCAGAAATCACTTCATACTCTAGAACATGCATTTTTATTATTACCATATATTGCTTGAAGTGGTTCTTAATGGAAGGATAAACAGAGCAATCATGTTATTAGACGTGCTTGACGCACTCACCAGCAGCAGGCTAAATAAAGGTAATTCAACAGGGATGCAGGAATGTTTCTGTCATGGGGGTTCAGCTGGCAGTGGGAAGGTGCTCGCTGGGCTGGGCTGGCCCCAGAAGCCAGGTGTACAGCTGATTTACAAAGGGTTACAGTAAAGCAATTAGAGCACCACGGGTAATCTGGAGCTGTGCTCCTGCTTCCACAGGGACAGCATCTTAGGCCATAGGGAGTTCATGGACAGTGCTGTTAGATGGGTTGATGGGGGAATGCCTTGTAAGTATTACAGTACATGCAGGAGGGATACAGCCAGAGAAATTACCAACTTTCACATCCACTATTTCCCTGGGTGGTGTGTCAAACTGCAACCAGACAATAAACTGTTACACAAGAACTCTGTGACACTGACATCTCTGTAGTGTTAATGAGAACGCAACTACTGCAAGCAAACATTTCCAGATTTGCCATTTTACCAAAAGAACAAAGAAAGAGAACAAGCACGAGACAGACTTGCAGAGTACACAAATACTTTAAGACAGTGACTGAATTAAAGTCTACAGTAAGTTTAAACTTCCTATGAACCATTCTAGTTAAAGTCATTAGTGACTTGTAATGCAGTTGTGCTTGACGAGGAACTAGGAAAAACGCTCAGCCCAAATTAAGATCCTCAAGTACTTAATTCTTTGGCAAAGCCACCAGGTTTCCAATTTCCACATGGTTCAGCTGAGAAGGGCAGGCTCTTCAGCACAAGAGCATGACTGCTCCGAGCACCGGGGAGAATGCCTTTTCCAGTGCTATTGCAATATGAATACTGAAAAAATCGGTGAGGGCTGAGCTGGCATGGGAGGGAAGGTCATGAAGCCCACACTGAGACACCACAGCACTACCCATGGGTGACTCAGGGAGGGCAAACGCTTCCCAGCCTAAAGCAACAGATTTCCTAGAGCATTGGCTCCAAGGAGTTGGTAGCCTCCCTCAGGCTTTTAAGGACAGATAACGCTCATCTGCCCTTTCCTTTGGAAAGCTGCAAGGTTGACTCTTCCCAGCTCTTGGATGTGCAGCCTGCATGTGAGCACGGCGCAGGTCTGGTACCTCTGATGCACTTACTGCAACCAGCTCTGCATCATCTTGCTTCTCCTGTCTGCCCTGCAAACTGTCTACTTTCCAGCAAGTACAGGAGAAGCAACTCTGGGTGAATGAGTTAGGGACAGAAGCAGTAAAATATCCAGCATGAAGGTGCAGAAAAGACAGAGAAACAAGGAGGAAGGCAAAGGGCTAAGGGAGCTGAGCAGACCACTCCCTGGCCCAGGGGCCTCTGCAGTCCTGGGGTGGCAGTGGGCATCGCGTCAGCCAAAGAGGGAGCGAGGTAGAGTCGTCCTAGTTACAAAAAGGTAAATACTGGGAACCATCAGTGCAATGGTGCAGTTCCCATCTCCTCCCTCCACATCCAAACCACCTCCCCATCATGCCCGTTTCTCCCATATGCTCTTGGGTACATACTATAAGCAAAGCAAACCCTGTGCTCTGTATGAAAACGGGGCTGGAAAAGGCACTAACTAGCAGGTGCTGTAAGTAAAGGGAGTGGTGTGAGGCCAATGTTAAAAGGACCTTCTTATTAGCACCAGGGAAAAGAGAATTTGCTGTTAATCTCCAGGTCAGAGAGAGCTGACACTCAATTCTGATTTGTTCAAGAAGAGACTCGATGCTAAAGGCAGCCACAGTGCAGGAGGGAGCCTGCAAGAACAGACAGACTCAAAAGATGACATATCTGTGGAAATCTGAGCTACAAATGAACTGGAAGGAGAGAAGGAAAGGGATAGTGTGGACCTGCTTCCCCCCAGATGGCAAAGGCAGGACACAAACTTCAGCCTCCTGTTAGGGAGCTGTCTGGGCCCCTCTTTGGGGTAAAGCTACCTGTGAAACGGCAGCAGGAAGCATGCCTTAAGGACAGACA